CACCAAAAATCAGCGCCTCTTTCCTCACTTCCCCCATTGTTCGACGTTGTTCCACCAGCCCTCACCACGTAGCCAATCTCCGAAGCCAGTCTCCGTACGTCACGTGACCGCTCGTTTCTCCCAATCAACCATCAAGCGATTGACGTCTGAGCGCTAAAATACAAAGTATGAAAAATGCGGGCTCTGCTCGCAAGCTTGCTTCGAGATTAGGGATAAAATCTACCATGCCTACAAATTCTTTCTAAAAAAAATAAAATAAACGAAAAACTAACCAATCAAACTTAACCCTAACCTAACCTAACGTAACTAACTACCCAAAGAACCTAAAGAACCTAAGGAAACTTAAAACAAGAAAAAAAAATTGAAACAAGAATCGGTTCTTTCGATTTTTGGAGTAAAGAATCGATTCGTAAATAAATCGAATAGTATTAAACTTCCTTCGTTTAATAGTGCGGAGGTAGAGCCGAATCAAGACACAGGACACTTCACTTTCTTTCGTATAGGATTTATTTTATTAAATAGTTTAAAGAAACAATTAGCTTTCGGTTTTAATAATGGCACTTTCTATAAAGGTCTGTCGTCTCACAATCAGACGAGTAACAAAAGAGTGAGCGGTAGCGAGCTCTCCTTCTCGTGGCTCGCGTAGCGGTTAGGAGAGAGATATATATCGCATTCGAACAGCGAGATGTATATTTGGGGCGCCACTTTCAACACTCCCTCCCGCACACATATACAGGGTGTTCGTTATGAAACGCACTGTAGTAACACCGTTGGATTCCTTGTCAAATTCTAAGGAATACGTGTATTTTGATTTTTTTTCATGTATCAAAACTTCGAGATAATCAATGTTGAAGTTGTAGTAATGCGACCAATCAGAACGCGTTTAAACGGAGCGTAGATGACGTCGCGAGTCAGCCCACAAGGCCTGCTTACACAAGGCCGATAACACTAAGAGTATCGTCTCTTGTATCTTACTCAATTACATGCAGATAAACAGGGACACTACGACGATACTCTTAGTGTCATTGGCCTAGGGCAAGCAGGTCTTGCGGGCTGGCTCGCGACGTCATCTACGCTTCGTTTAAACGCGTTCTGATTGGTCGCATTACTGCAACTTCAACCTTGATTATCTCAAAATTTTGGTATATGAAATAAAAAATGAAAAAACACGTAATTTTTAGAATTTGACAAGGAATGCAACGATGTTATTACAGTGCGTTTCATAACGAACACCCTGTATACACCATCCGGTCCTTTCGGTCAGTATTTACTCAGTAGGTCCTGTAACGTAAGAGAATTATAATAGAACCATTTTATAAATTAGTTATTATTACTTTCGACGTTCATAATAGAATTTGTTAGGCAAGCATGCAAGTTAAATGCCAAGGGTTTAGTAAATACGTCCGCAATTTGTTCTTCCGATTTTATCCATAATACTTTCACAAAACCCCTTTCAACACATTCTCTAACATACATAGTGTTCTTTCACATCGGGCATATGTCTCAATTTGTTGCTTCCGTTGACTTTCGAGCTGGATTCTACCGCTTTATTGTCACACCACAATTTCATTGGAAAGAAATTGTCCGTGACCATTACTTTCAAAGTGTTATTTAATGACATTAATTCTTGGCAGGCGTCACTCATTGAGACGTACTCAGCCTGACAAGTAGACAATGCCACATAATTTTGCTTTCGAGTTGGCCACATAATTGAATTACCATACAATTTAATGATAAAGCCACTAGTCGTTCGAGATTTCTTACAATCGGCAAAACTTGCATCTGAGTAGGCTTGCAAATCGTTCAATCTTCCTAAATAATTTAATCCTAGCGTTCTAGTTCCTTTCAAATAACAAAATACTCGTTTAATCATGTTCCATTCGTTTTCTGTCGGATTGTTTTGATGTCTGCTCAGCACGTTTACCGAATAACAAATATCCGGTCGACTGGCATTTGCTAAATATAGCAATGTTCCTACAGCTTCTCTGTATGGAATATTTTCAATGTTACTACTTTCGATAAATTCTTCCAAGTATTCATTTTCTTCTCTATGCTTTCGATCACGGTTTGCCACCTGATTTGTAATCATTGGCGTTCTTTTTGGATGTAATCCATCAAAATCAAACTTTCGAAGCATTCGATCAATATATTTTGTTTGTGTCAATTTAAGTTCTTTCGTTTTTCGATTTCGAGTTATTTTCAGTCCTAGAAATAATTTTGCTTCTCCTAAATCCGACATCTCAAATTCTTCCATTAACTTTCGTTTAATCTCATTCAACTTTTCTACGTCGTTAGTTGAAAGAAGTATATCATCAACGTATATAATTAAGATCAACAATTTTTCCTTTTGTCGCCAAGTAAATAAACATGGTTCATTCTCATGTGACTGTAGACCAGTTTTCAAAGCGGCTTTCGTAAATCTTTCGTTCCATCGTTTTGGACTCACTTTCAAACCATACAATGCTCGTTCTAATTTGCAAACTTTATTTAATCTGGTTTCTTTCGAACACTGTACTCCTTCAGGGATTTCCATATATACGTCATCACTCAGTGTGCCATTTAGAAAGGTAGTTTTCACATCCATTTGACATACTTCCAGATCAAGAGACTCGGTCGAGTCTCGCGCCAAGTACAGGCAACCGGCTGTACAGGGCGCAGCGCGCCGAGACTCTTTACTCGAGTCAACTCCTTATACCTGTGTTTGGAACGAAATATCTTATGAACCGCTATATATGAGGAAAAGTTATTGATACATTCACTATAGGAATTGAAGGTTCTGAAGCGATTGCCACCAAGTTCAATACGATTAGTGTACGAGATCAGGGCGTATTGAAATG